CACATATACATATATTTATATATACAAACCCCAAAATGCTTCTGGGCCAAAGCATTTCAGATAAGGAAGACTCAAACTGTACTAAATTGCATTTTTTTTAACTTCCAAAGAAAAGGAGAAGTATTTGTGGAAGCAAAACAATGTCCTTGTTTTGATCTATTCTGGACCTTGACTCAGATGGCAGGGGGAACACCATTTACTGGTTTCTGTCTCAGGCAGCAAAATGTCTTGAGCAGCTCTGCCCTGCTGGCTGTTCTACAAGAGACAATGGGGCGTTCTGGAATGAGAGAACAATCTTAAGAGAACTGACCAGACAGAAGTGAAACAGCTAAAGGGATCCCCCTCTGCCAACTGAAGATCAAGTAAGTTTTCTGTTCAGAGGGTTAATTCAATGTTTATTGCTAAAACTTCAGTGACAGTTTTAGCGTGCTACTGCGCCATGACTATATACATCACCTTTCTTGGATAACTTTGGTTAATAATTTCATTAAAGTAAAATTTAACAAGAATGGCTATGGTCAAATATAAGAACCATAATGGGAGCCTGCGTGGGCCTCGCAGGTTCCTTATCCATCACTTTTAGCTTTGATGTTGTAAAAATAATAATTTAGGTGCATTTTTTTCATACTTTTTGAGCCACCCACATTATTAGACTGAATGAATTTCGTGTGTTTGTTGTTATTGTGTGCCTTCAAGTTGTTTCTGATTTATGGCAACCCTAAAGTGGACCTATCATGGGGTTTTCTTGGCAAGATTTGTTCCAAGGAGGTTTGCCATTGCTTTTCCCTGAGGCTGAGAGAGTGTGACTTGTCCAAGGCCACCCAATGGGTTTCATGGCTGAGCGGAAATCAAACCCTGGTCTTCAGAGTTGTATTCGAACAGTCAAACCGTTACTGCTACACTGCCCTCTTCTGATTTTCAAAATAATTTCAAAGTATGTTAAACTTCCAGTCTCCTTTATTAAGTAATGAATAGCAGTTAAACCTCTGATATCATTTCCTCCTAAAATAATACTACCCAAGTCTAGTTCAAAGAATATGGGTTTATGATGCACAAAGGTTTGGAAATTAATTTGATAAGCAACCGTTTATTTAATAAAGGCTGGTGACCCTTCCAAATGTAGTGAATTCTGGCATATGAGCTGCAAACTGGATCATGTCTGTATATATACAAAAACCACAACAAATGACATATAAATACAGAGTAGTGTTCCCTTGTTTATACAAGAACAGTAAGAACCAGTTGAAATCCCTAACTTCTGGGTAGTACAACCTAGAAGAAGCTGATATATATATATATATATATATATATATATATATATTTCTTTGGCATCTGCTGGGGTTTGGTGCCAGGAGCCCCTGTGGATACCAATATCCATGGATGCTCAAGTCCCATTATAGTACAAAAGGTGGTTTTATATATATATATATATATATATATATAGAGAGAGAGAGAGAGAGAGAGAGAGAGAGAGAGAGATACTTTAACTGCTAAGGCTGCCTGCTTGGCTTTGAACTTTAAGGAAGGGAATGGAAACCCTCCTCCAGGGAGCTCTTGGCGTTGTAAAGGTTTAAACTGCTTATTGTCAATGGACCAATGTTTGGATTTTGGGGCTGGTTGCTGCTGCTGTGTTCTTTCCTTATCCTGGGGTTACATAGTATATACCAGGGGTAGGCAACCTAAGGCCTGGGGGCCAGATGCGGCCCCCGGAGGCCTTTGGACCGGCCTCAGGCCGGTCCTGCCACCGCTGCCGCCGCCGCCCGCCATAATGATATTGATTATTGTTGTTATT